CCCCCCCCCAAACCCCCACCCCCACCCCCACCCCCACATACACATACCCACACAATCTGTCTCTGTCTCTGTTCAGTGTCTAGGAAATATGGCTGGTAGCGGACGTCGTGGACGTGGTCGGTCTCGGTCTCGGTCTCGGTCTCGGTCTCGGTCGCCAAGCCATGGACAGAGTGCCGCAAGCAAGCAGGGAGGAAGGGAGCGGACAAGCAGGGAAGGGACAGAAAGGAAGGACGTTTCCATCAAGAGAGAGTATACCCAAGTGGAAGTGGTGCCTGTGGTGGAGCATGCCGAGGTGGTGGGAAGAGTTCATGAGTACTCGCAACATTTGGCCCGACAGCGAGTCATGCGGACTAGTCTCGCTGCTGGTTACGCTACCGTTCCGCTGGAGTATCATCTGCCATCAGACAAGCCTGTTCGTGGTGTAGTGCCCTTTGCTCGCCCGTACAATGCGTCTTTCCCAGCGCCCGAGGCCTGCCAAGCGGTGGTCAAGGCGAGCGAGGACGGTGGTGGTGCGGCAAGTGAGAGAGTCCGGCCGGTGCTCGAGGGTGTGGTAGTGGTCCTTGCTGGGACTGACTTTGTCATGCTCTCTGCCGGTGACCTGGAGCGACTGATTGAGATGTCTGGCGGGATTGTGGTGCCGTCGCTGACGGGGCCGGAGACGCCGGACGCGACGCATGTGGTGTTTGGTGGCGGGTACGCGGACCTTGTGTTGCCCGCGGCGTCTGAGGCCGGCATTCCTGTGGTCTCGGAGGACTGGATCTTTGAGTGCCTGCAGTACTCGATGCTAGTTGCCGAGAAGCGGTTCCTGGTCTCGTACGCGCCGCTTGACGAGCTTGCGTTTGTAGTTGCCAACCACGGGCCGGAGGACGGGTTCGCGTACGGGCGAGCGAGCGTGGCGCGGCTCATCTACGCGTACGGTGGGACGCAGTACGAGTCTGTCTATGCCAAGGTCCCTCACGTGTACTACGTGGTGCCGCTCTCTGTGACGTTTGACCAGATTTCGGCGGTGCTCGACGACGACGTACCGATTGTGTTTGAGACCTTTGTGTACGACTCGGTCCGCAAGGGCTACGCGGTGCCCGAGGCCGGGTACCGGGTGACGCGCGAGGCGTTCTTCTTCCCGGGCCTGGAGGTCCTTCCGCTTGTACCTGGGGTGAAGGCGGAGCAGCTGAAGGAGCGAGCCAAGACGACGCTCTCGCACGTGTGGTACGATCTGTCTGCGGCGGCCAAGATGGAGTCTGGCATCGGGTTCATGTGCCTCCTGCCGTCGTGCAACACGCCTGTGCCGGGGCCCAAGGCATACCTGCGGTCGCACATGATTGTGCACCACCTGCGCGGCGAGTGGGCGCCGCTGGGCACGGAGCCGTTTGACTCGCCAACGGTGGCGTACGCGACCAACGGGGTCAAGTACGCCACCTTTTCCAAGGGCTCGCGGCAGTACGCGGCAGCCGCGGCGCGCGCGGCATCGGGCACGGTGCTGGAGCCCGGGTCTGCCGCGGCGGCGGGCTCGCTGCGGTCGGGCGGGTGCGTGACGGTGTGGGACGTCGACGCGCAGTGTTGCGGCGAGCCGTGCCTGCTGCCGCCGCTCCCGGTTCAGGTCCTCACGTGCTCGCAGTGCGAAAAGGTGTTCCACGGCAAGTGCCTGCGGCTGACGGCGCAGCTTGTGGACAACCTGACGGACCGGTTCGACTGGCGGTGCAACGATTGCAAGGCGTGCAAGGTGTGCGGCGACTCGGCGTCGGACGAGGCGATGCTCTTCTGTGACGCGTGCGACAAGGCGTATCACACGTTCTGCCTCAACCCGCCGCTCGAGCGGGCGCCCGAGGGTTCGTGGCACTGCTCCGAGTGCTCGGGCTCGCAGTCAGTCTTCCGCAAGAACAAGTCGCGCCAGCTCTCGCAGGCCCAGGCCGAGATCCTCGACAACTGGCTCTTCTCGCACGTCGACAACCCGTACCCTACCGAGGAGGAGAAGCACGAGCTTGCCGCGCTCACGGCGCTTCCATTTGCCCGCATCTCGTCGTGGTTCACCAACGCCCGCCGGCGCAAGCTCCGCCGCTACCTTGAGCAGCGGGCCGCCGCCGAGGCTGCCGCCGCCGCCCGCGCTGCGCAGCACGCCGAGTAGCCGTCTGTTTCTTCAATGAAGCCAGCAAGCGAGTCGCGGGTCGCGGGCCGCGGCGCTATGCCGAGTCGGAGCCGTCGTAGCTGTCGTAGCCAAAGTCCTCGTCGTCATCGCCGACGCCGACCATGGCGACGGCCTCGGCAAAGGCCTGAGCGCGCGGCGTGAGGCGCGACGGCGGACGATCGTTGCCCATGGTCTCGCCGAGGCCCCAGTCATCCTCGGAGAAGTCGCGGTCGGTGATCTTGGAGTAGATGGATGAGGTCTTGAGCTCGAGGAGGTGAACGTCAAAGGCCTCCATGTCACGGCGGGTCTGGGCGACTTCCTTGCGGGCCTCGCGGGCGGCGTACGACGACTTGAGCCCTCGCGGCGGCGAGAGCGGCGGGCGTGCGGCGCCGCGGCGCTGCAACGATCGCGACCCTTCCGACGCGCGCCAGGCGGCGACGGCGACCGGGGCGCCGATGGCGAGCTCGAGCGCTGTCCGGGCCGAGCGGCGCGCCCGCAGCGACGACTTCAGCTCGGCGCGGAACGGTGCCTTGGCCGCAAGGTAGCGGGCCGAGTCGTGAGCGGCGACCGAGGCCCGCTCGCGGGCCCACCGCCGCTGGGCGTGGTACAGACGCTCCGACGGCTTGTCGATGCGACGCTGGCGGACGCCGCCCCACGGCCGCGGATGCTGGACCGGCTCGGACCGCGCGGCGGTGCCGGCCTTGGCGCCGTTGGAGAAGAAGATCGGCTCGAGGACCGAGAACGACGGCGCGGTGGCCGAGGCGCCGGCGGCCGACGCCCGCACCTGCGCCTGTGCCTGCTGGCTGCCGCTTGCCGGCTCGTGCCGAAAGATGCGGGTGTGACGCAGGCCACGAGTGAGCGGGTTGTGCAGCTCTGCACATGCTTCGCGAGCATGCGGATGGTGATGGAGATGCTGTGGGGCGCCGAGCGGAAAGTGAGCGGTGGCGAGGGTAGACGATGCCGACGGCGCCGTCCACGGGCGGCCGGCCGGGCCGAGCGCTGTCTGCAGCCGTGCAGTGGTGGCTGCAGCGGCCGAGGCCTCGGCAGCAACCTCGGCAGCGGCGCGGAGGGTGGAAGGTGGAGGCGGTGCGAGTGTGCGCACCAGGCGCGGCGAGAGCGCGTGCGAGACCTTGCCCGACCGCGGCGGGCGCGGATCCGAGGCGGCGGCGGCGGCGGCGGCGAGAGGGTTGGCCGAGGGCGGCGGATGCGGCTTACGGGACTTGCCAGGCACAGGTGCAGCCGAGTACGAGTACGAGTAGAACTCGTCGGCAGTGTGCGGGTGCTCGATCGACTCGAGGACAAGCGAGGGATCGGTGACCCACTCGGGGTGCTCGACGAGCCGCTGGCCGGTGGTGTGCTCAAACAGCTCGATTTCCTTCCGAGTCTCCAACGCCAGCGCTCGCTCCTTGGCCGCTTGAGCATGCTTTGCTTCCAGCATCCGCACGTGCTGCGCTTGTCGTCCCACCCGTCGTCGCGCCTTGGGCATGATGACGCAAACCGTTAGCGGGCGAGTGCGGTGGCCGGTGACTGGTGGCCAGGCCAGCCCGTGTGGCGCTCTCGGCCTCGCCCTGCCCTCGCCTTGGGCAGACGGACGAGTCATCGACGTGGCCCATGCAAGCGGTAGATGCAACGATTAGAGCGGGATTTAAGCCCCACCTGTTCAGGCTACTCTATTACCCATCATGGCGTGAGGATGAGGAAGGGCTTGAAGTGGGTCCACCCCTTTGTGTGCGTTTGTAGGTTCAGCTCGATTTGAGTCGATGGCGTCCATCGGGTCGATTGAGTCGGTTCGATCGGTTCGGTCCACGCAGGCGTGACAAGAGCAATATTGAGGCTTTGCTGAGAGATACGACAAACGTAGTGCACACCCCACTTTCGATCCTTTACAAACATGTCGTGGCAGGCTTACGTTGATGACCAGCTCGTTGCCAAGGGCAACACCGTTTCCGGTGCTATCCTCGGCCACGACGGCTCCATCTGGGCCAAGTCGGCTAACTTCAACGTACGTTCCTCTGTCTAGTTCCTTGGGGCATGGCTCTCGCACGCCTTGCCCATCCCCCTCCACACCGCTCGCTCGTCGAGCTGAGCACCGACCATTTTTTTGCCGCAAGCGGCCCTGAGCCGCCATGTTCCTCGCCGCCTATCCTGTCCCGCCCTCGCCTCCCTACCTACAGCTCTTTCGGCCTCGCCCGCGACCACCGCTGTGCCCACCACTCCATGGCCTTCTCCGCCCCATTCTCCAGCTCCTTCCCCCTCCCTCGGCTCGCAACTCGCCTCAACCGCAGCAGGTCAATTTCTAGTTCTGGCGAAACGGCGCTGGCCCACCTCGCGACCGATGCCAGTTTCTTCAATTTATGCAGGTCATTCATTCATGAAGGCCAGCCGGCGTGCGAGCCTTCTCCCGCACGGTCGCCTTGCTTGCCTTCCCCTACCCCCCAACCGCCAACCCCAACCCCAACCCCCAACCCCAACCCCCAACCCCAACCCCCGAACTCCAACCCCAACCCCCAACCCCTCCCTGCTCGCCTCCCGCCCACCCCTTCTCTTGTGACGTCACCGTCCGTTGGGTCGCAAGCGCGTGCCCATTTTTCTTGGGATATTCTTTGGTTTCGTTTGCTAGTTTTGCAAGTGGCTTGCCCCGGCAGCCGTCACCACCACCACCCACCCACCCCTTCCCCCCTCCCCGGAATTGACTCACTCTGTTGTGCGGTGTGGTGTGATGTGGACTGCAGCTCACCGAGTCGGTCGCGGCTGCTGGCCTCTTCACTGACTCGTCGATGTCGGTGACCCTTGCCGGCACCAAGTACCAGGTGCTCCGCAAGAACCTCGACGAGGAGGTTCCGTTCATCCTTACCAAGAAGAAGGAGGGCGGTGCCGTCCTGGCCAAGACTGCTCAGACCGTCATCATCGGTGTCTTCGAGGGTGAGCAGCAGCCCGGTAACGCGTCGAACGACGTGCTCAACCTGGCCGACTACCTCGCCGGCGCTGGCTACTGATTTCTTTCACTCGCTTCCTGCCCCGTGGCCCGGTCCCGCCAGTCTTCGCGTCCCCGTGACGCCCGCTGGCGGGCCTCGCCAATAAACCCGCGGCCTTGTGGCTTTGTTGCTCTCGTCTGTCTTGCCGTCGTCAGCCCTCAAAGTGGATGTCGACAGAACGGATGACGGTTGTCTCGCCGAGCGCGTCGTGGACAGCGTGCTTGACGCCGTGGCCAACGACCCGGACCGGCTCCAACGCTTCGCTGTCATCGAGCTCGAGGGTGATGGTCAGCGCAAGGCCGCCGTCCTCGACATGACACTCGACGTGCGAGACGCTGGCGATGCCCGCCACCGCCGCTGGCACAGCGCCGGCCACCGTCGCCTTGAGCGTCTCGAGTGAGAGCGACGAGGGGAAGACCCGCTCATCGAGCATGGCGTGGTCGTGATCGCCCATGCCGTACGGCTCGACGTGGACTACCATGTCCTTGAGCATGGGAATGGTCGCCATGGCCGCGCTCTGCGCCGCCACGGCTACCACGTGTGCCTCGGACACGGTCGCCCGTGGATCAACCTGCACGGTGACGTCCCCGACGAGGTACGAGCCGAGCCGCCGATGGCGCAGCTCGCGCACCGCGCGCACACCCGACACCTGTTCCATTGCCTCCTGGAGCGCGCCGGCCTCCTCGGCAGAGAGAACCGTCGAGTCGGTCAGGTCACGGAGCGCAGATATCGAGATCGAGCCGCCGGCGTGGACAATCATTCCGGCGACCACCATCGAGCCGATCGGATCAAGCCAAGGCAGGCCGGCCGCCACCCCGCCAAGCCCCACTAGCGCCACCACCGACGAGAGCGAGTCGGTCCGGTGGTGCCACGCGTTGGCGAGTAGGAGCTCAGACTTAAACTTGTCAGCCACCTTGCGCGTCGCTGCGTACAGCCACTCCTTGGTGGCGATCGAGACAACCGCGGTCGAGAGCCCAAGCCAAAGCATCGACGACGACATGCTCGCCGCCAGACCCTCATCAGCCACCGCTTCAGCACCCACAATGCCGTGGACGTGTCCGTGACCGTGTCCGTGTCCGTCGGCAGCTTGCCCGGCCGCGTCGGTCATCAGCCCCCACAGCGGGAGCAGCGCCTCGGCGCCATTCCAGGCAATCGCCCCGCCAGTCGCCACCAGAAACGAAGCCACCGTCAGCGTGGCCAACGTCTCCAGCCGGCCGTGGCCGTACTTGTGGCCATCGTCGGCGGGTGCTGTCCCCACTCGCGATCCGATGAGGACAACGGCGTCCGAGGCCAGATCCGACACCGAGTGCACCGCATCTGCCACCAGAACCGGCGAGTGTGCCACCATGCCCACGCCGCCCTTGGCCGCCGCCAGCGCCACATTGGCCACAACACCGAGCCAGGTCACCCTCGCCTTGGCAGACCGCTCCTCCTCCGACTCGTCGTGCGGGCTCGTTCCCGTCGCCACCAGCGAGCCGTGCGCATGCCCAGCGTGTCCACGCACACCCACGTCACCTCGCCACATGCCTCCTCTCCCGTAGCTCTGCCATCGTCCCATTCCCACCCATGCTCTCGTCCCCATGCGGAACATATCTGTGTCGCCTGCTCCCCCGACCGAGCCGAGTGCTGCCAGCTGAGCCCCGAGTCCCCGCGCCCGATCCCGGCCAGAGAGAGGAGCGGATGTAGCCCGACGTACCATGACATGGTCATCCATCAGCCTCTCGGCCATGCTCGTTGTCGCTCGGCTGGCTCGACTGGCTCGGCTGGCTCGGCTGGCTCGGCTGGCTCGACTGGCTCGGCTGGCTCGACTATCCACAACTTGATCCTGATCTCGGTCGACGCCACCATGGCCGATCTCGCTCGACTAGCTCGACTAGCTCGACTAGCTCGACTAACTCGACTCGCTCGACTCGCTCGACTCAACCTGGCCGTTCTCAGTCGACTTGCTCCACACGGCCGACTCGCTCGAGTTCGTCTCGGATATGATCGATGTTGGCATCGTCATGATGACTCGTCCTCCTCCTCCTCCTCCTCCCCCCCCCCCCCCCCCACACACACACCCTCCCCGTCTCCCCCATCTCACCTCCTCCTCCCTCCTCCCAGACACAATCCGATCCCTCGTGCACATAACATGATCATGATACCGATGGGAAGCATGGAAGCAGACGGGCAGCCAAGTCTTGGCAAGTATGGACGGGCGAGTGCAGGTGGGCGCCAAAGAGTGCGGAACAGGCGTGCAGGGCCAGCGAGGAGGGGAAGGCATACAGCTCTCTTGTGATAGAGCAAGCATGCTGGGAGTGGGACTGAGGATGGCTGGAAGTGGGGCGCGGAGTATGGGCATGGTGGTGGGGTGGGTGCGAGGGGCAGTCGCTGGTTGAGCAAGGCGGTGCAGAATGGCGGTCGAGCAGGGAGTGGCGGCAAATTGGGCCGCGCACCGAGAGCAGCAGCCGAGAGTGGAGCCGAGACAGCGAGGGAGAGAGTGGAAGCCACCCAGGCAAGGGCAAGGGCAAGGACAAGAGTGGGAAGGGTACCACAAGCGGAATGGTGGCAGGGAAAGAGGTCGATTCGGGATCGGCACCGGCTGATCTGCATCCGGAAGTGGTCGATGAGGCGGTGACAGTGTCCAAGCGCAAGATCATCACGGCGGATGCGTTCTACGACCAGACGGTGAGGCGGTATGCAGCCAAGAAGCTCCGCAACTTTAGCATCAACGAAATGGTGGGCCACTCGCGTGAGCCGTCGGTGGCCAACATTCTCTCCTCGGCCAACTTTATCTCGCGCCAGCTCCCGATCCGCCTCGCCAAGCGCATCTTTGAGATGCAAGCCCTTCCGTGGCTTGTGCTCCAGAACCCGCACATCTATCGCGTCTTTGAGCTGTACTCTTCGTCGTTTGAGGCCATCCGCAAGTTTGAGGGCCGCATCAACGACGTGGCTACCAACGAGCACTTTTGCGAGACTCTCTCCAAGGCCCTGCGCGAGAACCTGCCCGTCGTCGAGCTGCTCGGCCAGGGCGTGCGCGAGGCCATGCAGGTCGTCTCGCGGCGGTCGCTCCACATTGACTCGTTCCTCGACAACATGCTCGCGTCGCGGATCACCCAGCGCGTCATGGCCGAGCAACACCTGACGCTCCGCGGCATGGTGGACGACGAGTGGCGCGGCGTCATCCATCTCAAGTGCTCGCCCTACTCGCGGTTCCTTGCCACCACCGCCCGAGTCACCGAGCAGTGTATCCAGCACTACGGCGTGGCGCCGCGGGTCGAGTTCTCGGGCTCGACCGACATCAAGTTCCCGTTCATCCCGCCCACCTCGAGTACATTGCCACCGAGCTGCTGAAGAACTCGATGCGCGCCGTCATCGAGTTCCGTGAGCGCTCCACAGGCGAGGTCGTGATGCACGCCTCGGAGCTCGATCCCATCCACATCTACTTTGGCCGCGGCGACGCCCACCTCAACATCCGTATCTCGGACAAGGGCGGCGGCGTGCCGCCGGCCGAAGGCTCCGACGATCCAGTCTCCAAGAACCTCAACGTGTTCCTCGGCTCGCGCGAGACCATTCCCGAGATCAAGGGCCTTGTCCCGGGCACTCTCGGCTCGCACGTCTTCAAGTACGGCGTGACAACGGCGTCCAAGAACTTCTCGCCCTCGTCGCCCAAGGCTACCGACGCCGACGCCCGCTTCAACTGGGACATCAAGGCCACAAACGCGTCGCCGCTCGCAGGCTACGGCTTTGGCCTCCCGCTCGCCCGCCTCCACGCCCGTCACTTTGGCGGCGATCTCATGATGATCTCTATGCCCGGCTACGGAACAGACACCTTCCTCTCGCTCGACACCACCGGCGAGTTCTACAAGCGCTCGCTTTAGCCATAAACGGTACGTGTTCGCAGAAACGTGACGGCAACACGCAGACGTTAGCAGAGGACGGCTACTGCCGATCGCGCGACCACCGGCGCCACGGCTCCGGGATCTCGTTGAGCGGGCCCCACTTGTCGCTTACCTTGCAAGGTGCCTCGGGCGCATCCGTGGGAATCGCTTCCAGCAGTGCTTCGGCCTCGGCAGCCAGCGCGTGCAGGCCCGTCACCGCCATCGAGCCCTCTGGAAGGTGTCGCGAGCCGTGGACGAGCACGCCTGCAGCCTCGGTCGCCGCGCCGCGTGCCAGGCCCCACCATGCAAGATACGGCGATGCCGCAAGCCGCGCCATCCGCAGCCAGACGGTCGGATCGCGCCGCGGCGCAGAGGCCTCGACACGCAGCTCACGGACGAGCTTGATCGCCGACGGCTCCGGCGCCACAACCGCGTCGGCGTCAGTCGCCTCGAGCCGCGCCCAGACAACCTTTGCCATCAGCTCAACTACAATCTTGGGCGGGCGCTTCTTGTACTTGACCGCCGCCAGATACGTCTCTGCCGAGTCGACATCGCCCAGGCCGAGCGCCGCCCGCGCCGCCAGCGTCAGCAGCGACGTCTGGAGCAGCCGGCCGGCCTTGATCAGAAAGCTCTCGTTGAGCACCATCGGCATGAGCACCAGCAGCGCCTCAAGCCAGTTCTTCTCCGCCAAGCACGCTTCGGCCCGCAGAATGGCCAGCTCGACAGCCTTCATCCCAGCCATCTGCTCCAGCTCGCCGTCCGCACCTGCCTCGACCTCTGGGTTGTACAGTCCATGGCTCACTACATCGGGTGCAGCCAGCGACGCTGCCAGCTTGTGCACATCTCGCCCTGCGCCCAGAATCTCCAGCTCTGCATACCACTGCAATCATCATACGTTCATCCGACGCGTTTGGCCAAGGTGAGTCGCATCGCAGCAAAGGGATCCACAGCAGCATCTCCCGACGGGCAGGTGAAGGGGGGAGGGAGGGGAGGGGAGGGGATTGCGGAAAGACAGAGGAGGGGCAGTGCAGCTTACATGCTCCTTTACCGACAGCGGTACATAAGTGGGGTCCGGGTCAGCCATGGGGAGGGGGAGGGGGGGAGGCGGACGGGACGGGGTAGCGACGAGTGAGGGCCCCTCAATGCCGAAACGCTTGAGAGGCGTGGCAGAGGGGCGCACACCGACGGTGGCTAGAACACCGGCGTGGTGGTCGCAGAGTACGTGAGGTAGACGGCATCGGCCAGATCGGCATCCTTGGCCTGGGTCTCGAGTGCATTGAGGGTAGATGCGTCCGGCATGGCGAGCATGGATGTCTCGGAGCGAGCGACATGGGTGACGCGGACAGCCGGGGCGGCCGGGGCGCCTGTGGGGGCAGCGGTGGCGGCGGTGGCGTCGGATGTGACGACCATGGTCCATGACTCGGGCGTCTCAGCCTTGAGGGCGTCGATGGCGCGCGAAGTGGCCTGTGAGAAGACCGGGAGCGGGATGCGGAACTCGAGGAAGGGGATCTTGGCGAGGGCGGCGTCGAGGTCAAAGGCGTTGACGTCGTCGATGAGGCCGTAAGCAGCGGCGGCGGCGGCCGAGACCGACGAGACGCCGTCAGCAGAGGCGTAGCGCGAGAGCGCCAGGGTGCATAGCGAGCGAAGCGCGTCGTAAGGCGCGCCGGCGGCGTTGGCGAGCAGGCAGGTGTCGAGGAGGGCGTGGAGGCGGAGCAGGGCCTCGAGCGCTTCGCGGGTCTCGGCCGTCGGGTCGAGGTACGGCTCGATCTGGGTGTAGGTGCAGAGCGAGTGCGAGGTGAGCCACGCCGAGTAGTTGCGCTGCAGGTAGTAGATGCCGATCTCGACCAGGCACTCGACCGGCTCGTCGAGCCAGTAGTCAAAGGCCTGCGCGAGCTCGTCGGCGGTCGACGCCGCGCCAGCGCCGCCCAGCTCGCCGGTGTTTGTCAGCATGGCCTTGACCGACTGGCGGAGGAGGAGGCCGAGCGCGGTCGAGTTTGTCCGGTGGATGACCGGCTGAAAGTCGCCAGCAAGGAGCTTGTCAAAGATGTGGCGGAGGCAGGCTGTGAGGTCGTCGAGCGAGGCTGCATCCTTGAGAAAGAGCCAGAGGCGCTCGGTAAAGTCGAGGTCGGTGCGGCGGGCCGGCGAGGCCGAGCCGAGCGCCGAGTCGTCCTTGGGCGCCGGCGGGCCAAAAAGCGCCGGGTCCATGGTCCCGCCGTGGGCCGCAATGTCGTCCTCGTGGCCAGCGTACTCGTCGAGGTAGTCGGCCTTGGCCGGCGCGCTGGGCGCCGCCGGCCACTCGGCGCCGGTGCGGACCTGGTTGAGAGCGACGAGCTGGCGAAGGGCAGCAAGGGCCGGCGCAAGCGGCGCGAGCTCCGAACCCACCCGCGGCACCAGCTTGAGAACAGCCCAGTCGACGGTGAGCGGCGGCGCGCCGAGCACGCCACGGCCAAGGTGCTCCGCGCCCGACCACGCAACCTCGAGCGCCACACTCGGCGGCTCACAATCGGCCTCTCCGGCGTCGTCGACCTGGAAAAAGTCGTATACCGCCGAGTAGCTGTAGCTTGCGTCGGCCGGGTAGTCATCGGCCTCGACGAGGAGGACCTGCGACGAGCGGAGCGTGCCGTCGGCCCAGATCTTGAACAGTTGCCCAGCTCCGTCGCCAGGGGCCAGGCCCAGGTATGTGTAGGCTGCCGTCTCGACGTAGCCGTGGTCCTCTGCACTTGTGAGAACGAGAACCGTGGCGTGCGCCAGCGGATCAAAGCCGTCGCGGCGAGCGGCGACAACCTCGCCGAGCACCCCGCGCGCCGCCCGCAGCGGAAGCGGCGCCATGGCTCCGATGTCCACCGTGTGGCTCCTGCCGTCGGCTGCAGCCACCGCAAAGCTCCCGCTCAGCGACGGCGTGCTTCCGCTCGGCGCATTGCCCACGTACACCGCCATGGGAAGCTCTGCGAGCGAAGCTGAGAGCGGGCCGGCGTCGACGCCGCCCGCCACCAAGACCAGCTCGCCCGAGCCCACCACCTTTCGCGCCGGCACATCGACATGAGCCGGCAGATACATGACCGCCACCTCGCCATTAACGTCCTTGGCCACCTGTCATGATTACGTGGCCCCCCGCAGCCACCTTGCCTGTTAGTCACTTGCGCAGCGTCCTCTTCCCGGTTCTTGCCGCCCTTTGGCGCCAAAAAAGGTCGTGGAAGGTGGTCACGCCTTGGCTCTGCCCGCCACACGGCGACCACAGCTCCCTTGGCGTGGACCACCACCACCACCACCACCACCACCACCACCCTTGCTTACCATGTCTGGTGCCTCTGCCACCTGTGCCAGAAGCTTCTCCATCCCCATGGCCATGGTGAGTACGTCAAGTATGGTGGGGGGCAGGAGGAGGTCGTGATCGTGATCGTGGTCGTGATCACGGCTTGCAGGCGTGATCGATCGGTGGCGCGCGCAGGCGGCGAGCCCGAGCCGGAGCCACGAGGCGAATGAGAGCTGCTTCAAGGCACGCTTGACTACGTGCGGGATGCATGCGAGTCTGAGCTCCAAAATAGCAGCGCTGCGTGCACTCAATGCGACGGCGGTCTCGCCGCTGCCTGGGTCTGGAGGACGAGGTGGTGCGGAGGGCGAGCGCGGACGCGAGCGCAGGAGTGGACACAGCGGTGGCGGCCAGGGTGGTCCGCGCGAGTTCTTTGGTCGCAGCAGAGGAGAGGATGAGCTGCAGCGGCGCGAGTCGCCTGGCGGGAGTGGGAGGGTGAGCGGGCGGGACGTGATGGACGACACCTCGTTTACGCTCTCGCCAATGTCGATGCCGCCGACGCCGGCGCACCTCGGCTCGCACTCGCTGACGGTGCGCCAGCAGGCGCGGTCGTTCTTTGAGCCGCAGCTGTCGGGGAGAGCAGACGATCGCGGCGGCGGTGGCAGCAAAGGTGGAAGGAGTGAGAGCGATGGCGATGGCGATGACGATGACGATGGGAATGAGAGCGAGGCAACGATCGAGGTGGTGCGGGGAGAGCAGGGCCGGGGCCGGAACTCGCGAGCGCTGCTGGATGATGCGCACGAGATGGTGGCACTGTTGTCGCAGCTTGCGCGAATCACGCAGCAGCCACAGCCGCAACTCCAGCCGCAACTCCAGTCACAGCTCCAGTCACAGCTCCAGCCGCAGCTTCAGCCGCAGCCACAGCTCCAGCAGGCGCCGTCGGTGCCTGTGGTCGGGACGGGGGTGGTACTGCCGCACGAGGCGCTCAACATTATGGCGGCACTACAGGCCGAGTCGGATGCCCGGGCGCAAGAGGTGCAAGATCTGCGCGAGGCTGCGCATGCGCGCGAGACCGAGATGCGCGAGGCCGAGGCGCTGTTGGCCGAGTCGGAGGCGCGGATCCGGGAGCAGGATGACATCATTGCACAGCTTGTGGAGCACAACGAGGGCCTGATGGAGGAGCGGGAGGTGCTGCGCGACAAGGTGCGTGCGCTGCGCGAGGAGCGTAACTCACTCCGCAGCTCGAGCGCGGCGGTCCAGGACGCGGCCAAGGCTCACAAGCGCGAACGGCGTGCACTCGAGTCGACGTACCGCGACCGGGTGGCGCGGCTGGAGGACGAGCTCGAGCTGGAGCGCGACGAGGTGACGGCACTGCGAGCGCAGCTGCACAAGGTCAAGGCGAGTAACGCACAGCTGATGCGGCGGCTGCAGCCGGGGCGTGTTTCACCACTGCGGGCGTCGCCGGTGCGAGCAGCAGAGCCGGCGGCCCGAACGCGGGCAGCCGCATCTGGCGTGCGGGGACGGAGCAGCCGGCCGGCCGAGCTCGCACCACTCCCACTCCTCGAATCGTCGCTCTTTGCCAGCTAAGGCGGCGGCGCTTCAAAAAGGAGCGGCAGCCGCGAGGCGTTCGAGGCGTGGACGTCGAGCCAGGCTGCATGAAGTGCGGCGGTTGCCGAGCGCGAGAGCGCGTTGCCGCGGACGTCGAGCGAGGTGATGCGTGCTGAGAAGCGAAGGCCCTTGGCGAGGACGGCGGCGGCGGCATCCGAGAGCGCGTTGCGGGCGAGCGAAAGATTTGTGAGCGATGCCGAAGCGGCCATGAGGAAGCCCGCGCCGACTACCGAAGCCGAAGTTAGGGCGTTGTCGGAGAGGTCGAGGCACTCAAAGTGCGGGAGGCCGACCAGGCTCTGGGCGAGGAGCAGGAGGCGCGAGCCTGCGATGGCGTTAGCGGCGAGAGTGAGCGAGCGGAGCGCACCGGCGCCCGAAGCCGAGATGGCGCTAGCAAGCACGCCCATGCCGCGGTCGGAGAAGCCGGTCCGTGAGAGGTCGATGGCAGTGAGCGCTGGCGAGGCGCGGAGGAGCCCGGTCAGGCTCTGAGCCGCCCAGTGGTGCAGTCGGTTGCCAGCAAGGCGGAGCGAGGCGAGCTTGCGAAGGCGGGCGTGCGCGCCAGCACCGCCACCAGCAGCCTCGAGCAGAGTCTTCAGCGCCTCGGCCTCGAGATGGCAGTCCTCGAGAACAATGGCCTCCAGCTCGTAGTGGATGTTGATACAGCGGGCGAGGGCGGCGACCTCAGGCTCGTCCAAACCGTCGACGCCACGGAACTCAAGCCGCTCCAGGCGCGGTTGGGCAGCGAGGTCGGCAATGCGAGTGTCAAAGTCGGCAATGTCGAGATTGGGCGAGCGGGGCGTGGCCACCGGCGAGAGCGCCGGCGAGCGGGGCGTGCGGGCCGGCGATGGCGTTGCAGCCTGGACCTCGCGGAGCTGGGCCGCCAGCGAGACGCAGAGCTCGCGCAGCTGAGCGGCACGTGCCTCCTCAAGCTCAAACAGCTTGCGGGTCTTGTCTTTGTGGACAGCAAAGGCGGCGCTCAAGACGCCGACCCGGTGCCGGAGCTTGGCGTTCTCGGAGAGGAGTGCATCCCGATCCATCTCGCTCCGCTGAGCGAGGGCGAGCGGCGGGAGGCTGTCGACCTCGGCGAGGACGCAGGCATCGGCAGCAGTGGCGGCTTCATCATCGTCGTCAGACCAGCCCGACAAGAACGAGTCCGAGTCCGAGTCCGAGTCCAACTCGTCGTCCTTGCTCACACTTGTAGCAAGCCGAGGAAAAGGCGACAGCGCTGGCGAAGCAAACGGATCAAAGACAGCTGGGGGCTTGCCAAACGAGGCGTGAAAGGCTCCAACATCAACCGAGGGCGTTGTCGGAGCTGAGACCGAGCCAGCTCTTGCTTTGGCTCTGGCTCCAACCTGGGCTCCAGCTAGCGTGGGAGAGGCAGCCGCCGACGGCGAGGCCGAGGCAGAGGCCGAGGCAGAGGTTGGCCAGGCCTGGAGCGAGCGGAGCGAGTGGGTGGCCTCCCACAGGGCGTCAGGCGAGGCCGGCGGCGGAGAGGCAGCGGCTTTGTCCACAGGCGCAATGCGGAAGGAGAGCGAGCCTGATCGCGTCCGGGTGCGAGTCTTGGACGACGACGAGGTGCGCTTGCGGCGGTGGCGACGGCGGAGGTGGGCCACTGCAGCAGGCACAACCTCGTCCGAGCTCCCGCTCCCCTCCGAGGTCGACCACTCTGCGGGTGGGCGAGACGGGAGTGCGTATCGTGACGACGGGGGAATGACAAACCCGTCGGCGTCGAGTTTGACGCTCATGCGGAGCGGGGACGGGGGTTGGGGGGGGGGGGCGACAGGTGGTCGTGATCAAGACCGTGATCGTGATCGTGGGTGGGGGGGGGGGGGGGTGATCGTGATCGAGATCAGATTGAAGGAATTGGGGAAAGGGGGGGAGGGGGGGGAGACGGAGTGCGGTAGGCTGGTGAGAGCCTTGGAGAGTAAGAGGGGGGTAGGCGGGCGGTGGGATGCCGTGATGACCGTCGGACGGGGCCTGGTGGGAGGTAGAAGGCGGCAAGGCGGCAGAATGTGGCAGGAGGAAGACACACTTGTCGCTGTCCTGTGGCAGCCAGCGGGAAAAAGGTCGTGGAATGGCGCTTTCACAAAAGTTTGAACCTGTTTTGGCAGACCTGGCGTACGTGGAGGAGAAGCTCGTGGAGGAGTTTGGGACGAGCACGACGCCAGCTGAGCTGCTTGCACGGCTGAGTGCTGTGGAAGAGGCTGTTGCAGGTCTTCGTGAGCGGCATGCTGCGGTGGTGGCCGCCAAGGACGAGTTCTACCGTGAGGCGGCCAAGACGGTGGCGGGCGGCGCTTCGCGCCTTCTGGACGTGACCAACACGCCGGGAACACGGGCGGCCCATCTGGCGGGTAAGGCTGCACTGGCGACGTTTGAGGCGAGCAAGAAGGAATGGCATGCTGCGGTGGGGACTTCGCCGGCGGCGCTGGCTCGGGGAGCCGGCAAGGTGGCGGTGCCGTCGGCAGCCGAAGCCCTGGCACTGACCGAGCTGGAGGTTGGCGCCGGGCAGGCCATGATGGCGGGCGAGGCGGACGAAGCGGATGCTGTCGGCAACAACGAGGATGAGCTGGAGACAGAGGTGGCACGCGAGGCTGCTCGGTGGTTTGTGCCGGTGAGCAAGGCCGAGTTTGAGGGGTGTCGCAGCTGGTCCGCGGGCGGATCTCTGTCGACGCCGTCAACGCTGTCTACCGCACCGTGTACGACACGTTCCAGGCCGAGCCGCGCCGCAAGCCGATGGGGGTCAAGGAGATGGTGAGCATGGGCCTGAGCGTGACTGGCGCGTCGGGCAAGGCCAAGCTCAACGTTCTCCGCTCGCTCAAGCTCATCGAGATGAGCTCGGCCGGCGTGGTCCTGGCCCGCCCGCTGCACAAGCGCCTGCCACGGCGGCGATGAGCGGCTGTGGCGGCAATGAGAGCAGGAGGAGGGAGGGGAGGAGAGGGCGCCAACGGAAGGGCGTCCGCGGCTCGAGCAAGGCAGCTTTGTGAGAGCGTTTGTAAAGTTCCAAAGGACATCAGCAGAGGCAGGTCAGAGGTAGGCGTACGAGGCCGGGATGGCCGAGGCGATGGCGGCGCAGAGAGCGGCAGGCGATGCGACGGCGATGGTGGCGGAGCGGGCGCGGTGCGCTGGGGTTGAGGCGGTGAGGTCCAGATCTGCGCCGATGCGCGGAGCGGCGTCACGAGCCTGGGCGAGAAAGGCAAAGACAATGTCGTTGATGGGCCGCGGGGCAAAGGTGACGACCTCACCCGAGGCGAGAACGAGCGAGGCCGAGGGCCGGTCGAGGCGGATGCCGGCGGTGGAGGCCGAGACGACGAGGCCCGATGGGTCTGGGGTGGAGATGAAGAACAGGGTATCGTCGCGGACGGCAAGGATGAGCGGACCAGCGAGGGCCTTGCCGAGCGACGGGTCAGCCGACTCGACCGAGACCGGCAGGAGAACGGCGCCGAGCCAGGGGGCAAGGGAGCGAACGTGCTCGTCGTAGGCGAGCTTGGCCAGGAGCGGCGGGTAGCCGACAAGCTTGGAGTGGGCCTTGAACATCTTCTTCTCCCAGGCGGCCTGCTTGGAGACAAACGAGGAGGAGGCCAGGACGTGTCGCGGGAGGAGCTCTGCGAGGAGCGAGGGAGCGCGGAAAAAGCCAGGCAGGTGCTTCTTCTTGTCGTGGTCGCCGTAGTAGAGCTGGATGAGGAGAGCGCCGAGGGTGATGAGCTCGGACTTGGGCAGGATGACCTGCGAGGTGAGGACGGCGGAGAGGGTCTCCTCGAAGAGCAGCGTCAGCGCCGCCCGCGAGGCCGCCTTGCGCTGGTCGTCGACGGCGAGGCCCGGGCGAGCGCGGAGGTAGAGTAGCGGGACAAAGGGCAGCGCCGAGTCGCGGGCCTGGGTCCCGCGCAGCATGTGAACGGCAGCGTCAAAGTGGGCCCAGAGGTCGTCGAGCCGCAGCGCCGGCGGGAGGACGACGTCGAACGAGACCGCGGTCGCCTCCTCGTCGGTAGCGGCAAAGAGCGCAAAGAGGGCGTACTCGCGGCGCTCGAGCCCGATCTTCTCGGCCATCGCCTCGAACACGTGCCCGGCGGTGAGTTGGGCGTCGGCATGTCGGACGCGGAGCTGATCGACCGGGAACAGCTTGGACGAGCCGTTGAGGAGATGGACCTTGAGCAGTGCCGGAAGCACGAGGCCGGAGCCCTGATGCGCCGACGTTGAGCGGGTCGGCCGGGCTGCCGCGCACGCCTTGGCCTCGGCCACCGAGCTCGGGGCGGCAGTCTGGGCCTGGGCACCGGCCTCAGTGGCGGCCCCGTCTGATGAGGTAAAGCCGCCAGCATCGTCGTCGACGTCGGACGAGTCCGAGTCGTCCGAGCCGTCCGAGCTGACTGAGCCGTCCGTCGGTGGCCTGGCAACTGGGGCGTCGTCGTCGCCGTCACCGGTGGCCGACGACGACCCGTGGCTCGAGCAGCTCGCAGCAAGCTTTGCCTTGAGCGCCGAGAGACAGTCCACAGTCTTGTGGCAGAACAGTCCGGTCTTGGGCTCGACAAGGGTGGCGGCCTCGTCCACCGCGCCGCAGCCAGCACACGTCGACGACCGGAGCTTGAAGGCCTCGACGCACTCGCGGAGCTTGTGGAGCCGGTGGCCCGAGACCATGACCAGCGGGGCCGTTGGCTTTGCCCCCTCGCCGCATTCTAGGCAGGTAGCGGTGGACATGGGGGGGGGTGGGGGGAGTGGGGTGAAAATGGTTTAGTGGGCGGTGGCTGGTGGGCAGTGGCTGGTGGCTGATAGGTGGGCACGGTCTAGGAGGACGAGGTCGGCTCGATAAAGGAGCAAATGGACCACTTGTGGCCAAACGGGTCCTTGATCTGGGCAAAGCGGTCACCCCACGGCTGGTCGGCCGGTGGGCGGAGCGAGGTGGCACCGGCGGCGACAGCGCGATCGTGCCACGTGTTGACGTCGGCTGCGGAAATGAGGTTGAGTGTGACAGCGCACGAGGTGCCGTTGAGGCCGTCGGCGCCCGGATGCGACGGCTTACCACCGTTGTACTCGGGAAAGTCGTCAAAGATGTAGACGTGGAAGTCGTTGCCGCCAATGGGCACAACCACGTCGGCAAAATGAAGCTTGTCCGAGCCCTCGGCATCGTCCTCGTACGCCGAGGTGCAGGTGGCGCCAAAGGCCTTGCCATAGAACTCGATGGCCGCACGCGCACCATCAACTATCAGCGACGGCACCACCCCGCCAGGCACCTTCTTGGGCGTCTATGGCAATGAGCGGGGGGGGGGGGGGGGGTGAGTTCGCCGCCGAAAAAAAAAGCCAAGCTTCGGTCCGCTGTCCCGAAAAGGTCGTGGTTTGGGCGGCCTGGTGGCATGTCCCCGCTGGATGGGTACCGGCAAGGCCAGGTGCAGGCAAAGAGGTGGAGGGGGAAGATCGAGAGCGTACAAAGGTGAACTTCTTGCGGGCAGGCGCAGCGTCTTCGAGCTCGTTTGCGGTCTCCTCACGCTCGCGCTTGGAGGTGGCGTCGGCGGGCGGGGCAGCGACAGGGTTGGTGTTGGCGTCGGACATGCTTTTCAGGGTTGGTGACAGAGAGGTGTGTGTGTGCGTGTGTGTGTGGCCAAGCAAGAAACGAGCTGTGACTGCACAGCAGGAGTCCAACGATTGGTCGCGAGGAGGTGTTCAATGGGTACAGGAGAGCGGAAGGCACCTCGGGCGTGGCCTGCCGTCCACGCCGCCTGTCGACAGCAGCACTTGTTGCTCACTGCTGGAGCACGAGGCTCGGGCTTTCTTGGCGTCAAACACCAAGAAACCCAGTAGTGGCACACGGCAGCGTTTGAGGAGACCTTGGCCAAACCAATGACTCCTCGGACGCACCGCGGGGCTGGATGACGACGGGCGGGCGGGCGGACCGACGACGGGGTATCAAAATCTCAGCGACGCCCGACCCGATGCAGGGGGCAGGTGCCATCTCGTTCTTACGTTCGTCACGGATGCACAAGGCACAGATCCCGCACGCAGGCGTTGCAGAGTTGCTGCAAGCGCCTGGTGCTGATACGGCTCGGGCGGGGACGCGAGATGGCACCTACCTCCGGCAAGAGGCCAGGAGGGAGAGTCAAAAGTGAGGGCGCTCGGGCGGCTCCACTAAAAGGCAGGCACCAGAGAAAAAAAGGCAACTGGCTCGACGAGCTCACTGCGATCCCCTGATCCCATCCACGACGGAATCAGGCGAAAGCCATGCTAGCCGAGATTGCAATAGTCAAGGGTGGAGCCAGGCGTGGAGCCGGTTGGCGGAGGCGCGGACAAAGTTGACGGATGAAAGGGGGGCGCGTGCGGCGGCGCGGAGACACGCCTTGTTGCGAGTCGTCAGGAGCGACGAGGCTGGTGCTTGCGGTATGCTGCAGTTCCGCCTTCCTCAGCTTCTGCAGAGATACAAAATGCACGAGATGGCGGAGGCAGCTGGTCACAGCACAGACGATCTGCAAGCCGTTGGGCGTATGCCACGGAGACGGCAGAGGCGCGGCCGGGAGGCCACACGCGGACGGGGTTGGATGCGTCGCGAAGGTGCGAACAGCGACGCAGCGCCGTGCTTGCGTTGTTGCGAGATGTTCCAGGGAGCTGGAGCTCGGTCCTTAACCACAGGTCTTTTCATGGCTTGCTGCCATCCTGGGTTGGAAGCGGAAACAATCTGCACGCTGGCTTGCCACGACACGAAGACGTGGTGCCTGCGGACAAGGCACGGGCTGGGCGCGGACGCGGACAACGCGGGTAGTCCAATGGTTTGCTTACACCGCAGGCGGCAGGGCAAGCATGTCAGAGAGAAAGGCCGAAAAGTCAGCGGCGGCCGAGGTGCCCGACGCCGCAAGCGGCGAGAGGCCCATGGGCATGAGGCCCGCCGACGGGGTGAGGCCAAAGAGCGGGGAGCGGAGGGCGATGTCGAGGCCGGGGCCGACAGGGGTGGCGAGCGCGGCATCGATGTCAAGGGATGGGCGGGCGCGCGAGGGCGCGGGCGCGGCGGGGAGCGGCAGGTCCAAGGCGGCTGGCGCAAGGGTGGGCGTGCCGAGCGAGGACGCCGGCGCGAGGGCGGCCGATTCGAGGCCGCGGGCGCGCTTGGCCGGGCGCAGGTCGGCGTCGTCAAAGTCAAGCGGGAGCGGCGGGAGCGCGGCGCGGAGGGTGGCCGACGCCGGTGCGGCCTTGTCGCCGAGGAGCGAGACGATGGAGGAGACGGTGTCGACCATGGCCTGGTGGGCGCGGTGCGAGGCAGCGAGCTCGTCGCGGAGGCGAGCGTTCTCGGCGGCGATGGCGGCGAGCTGGGTGTCCATGGCCTCCTGGGCCGATGCCAGCGAGACGAGCTCGTGCTGGAGCTCGTCGCGCTGGCGCTTGAGGCCCTTGAGCTCGCGCTGAAAGGCGGGCGGAGGCGCGGGGGCGGTGGCCGAGGCCGAGGCCTTGGCCGATGCGGCGGCGGCGGCGCCCTTGCGGCGGCGCTTGATGTAGCGCAGCAGTGAAGTGCGTCCGCGGCGGAAGCCGTCGTGGTAGAACTCCCAGTGCGAGGGTGCGCCGACCTTACGAAAGCCGTACATGTTGAGCTGGCGGATAAAGGACTGGAAGTTCGAGTGCTTGAAAAAGGTGCCGAGGACCGAGTCAGTGAGGCCGTCGGCGTCGACGACGATGAACGAAGTGCCCTCGGGCAGCCAGGTGATGATGTGGTCGCAGACCGAGTCGGAGACCATGGCGTAGGTCTTGGCGATAAAGGCGGCGACGCCCTTCAGCGCGCCGATGGTGCGGTCGTACGGCTCGCCGGCCGGCACAGGGTCCGGCAGGGCGGCGGCCGCAGCCTGGGCCCGGGCAATGTCGCCGGGCGATGCCGCCGCCGTCGAAGCGGCAGCAGCCGAAAGGGCCTTCACGGCATCTTCGTCAGTGAGACGATGCGGGATGCTCATGTTGAGGTGAAGGCGAGGGCGCACGCAGCGATAAAGATAGTGTGTGCGTGCCGAGAGTCCAGAGGTGTGCGGCTTGAAGCGAGCGGGGAAGTTGCGGTCTTCCGGGTTCTCTGTCTCTTGCTTGCTTGTGGTGTCTTCTCTTGATCAATTAACTACTGACCACAGGGGGGCCGTACAGTAGTCCTTTCTCACGAGCGGCGGGGTTGCTTGGTTTGGGGGTTGAAGTTTGCCCGAGCTCATGAACGAGCCCGTGACCGGGGCAGCAGCCAGAAGGTACCGACGGGGTACCAGACAATCCGTCTTGCGAGGCATAGTGATCGGGAGAGGTTGAGACCGAACGAGCTTGCTCAAGTGCAGAGTCGTGGGGAGAAAGAAGGTGTTCTTCGCTTTGGCGGCGCAGGCGCTCAAAGAGAAGGGGTACGGGGTCGGTCCGACTGAAAGAACAGACAGAGACCGAGAGACACACACACACGTAAAAGACGGTGTGTTGGTGTGACTGGAGAACGCTTCGACAACAAGTGCGGAGCGAGCTTAGCAAGGGACGCGAGAGGCGGACGTTCGTGAACGAGTGCGAGAGTGAGAGAGAGATGGGTTTGGAGCTCTCTGGAACACATTCGAAATTCGTCGAGAATCAGCTGGTTTTGTCTGCGCAAACCTTCTCTTTCCATTGCATGACGCCGAGTCGTTTGGAACTTTCACGAGGGTGCCACCCACGCGCCTCCACCAGGACGGATGGCGGAGCAGGCATAGAGGAAGGTGCTCGAGGAGGTCGTTTCAGAGCATCACGACCCTGCCGAGCGAGGGCCTGCCGCTGCTATTGCTACTGTGCCGGCTGGTGCCGGGATCGGGTGCGGAATGTGATCTGCTGGCTCAAGCCATCGATTGGAAGGTCTCCGCCTCTGCTGGTGATTGGCGACCGTCGTTCGCGGCGGCTGCCGGTGAGCGACGGATGAGGTCGGTTGACGGTGCCACTGACGTCATGCATAGAGCGCAGAGCAGCGCGCGCGCCCGAAACACGCCACGCCGTACCATGGATTAGCCTGAACTCGTAGCCCCATCCCTGGACTTCGGCCGGCACGTGCAATCAGCAGGTCCAATCGATCGATCGTGATGTACACGCCGTACTCGCAGAAGATCGGGTGATGCTTACTATGTCACCGCATTCATGTTGCTCGGCTGCGGTCTTTGGACAGTGACCAGTTTTTGTGATCACAATAAAACCACATCAAACGTGACGAGATCGCGCCTTGCAACAGCGTCTGATTGCCTCTCTCACCCTCTGAGCCGGTTGTAACTCAGCATAACCATGCCTGAGCATGTCGGCTTGTGTGAGTGTACCGCCCGGTGCGAGAGGAAGAATGCCTGGCGGCGGGGGTATGCTCGGCCGTCCGATCGATCAGTCGGGCGAGTGATCTGATCCCACTTGTGGCGACTCTGGCCGGCCGGACGAGGACGAGGCGCCACACCCAACGACGGCATGGAGTACACCAAGATAGGGGCACGGAATGTGCGGGCGACGGTGTCAACACACAAGGCGGAGCTCCCGGGCCATACGCAGCTGAAGCGGCGGCGCGGGCAGGTCAAGCCGGCGTCGCGTGAGGAGCTCGCGGCCGAGCTTGCGGCCCGCGAGGCGGCGGCGGGAGCGGGCGCAGGAGCCGGCGACGACGATGGCGGGCAGGGGCGGGGCAAGCGGGCAAGGCTCATGGCTGGCAACAGCAGCAGTAGCTCCTCCACCAGCAGTGGCGCGGGCTCGCAGCCGCCGTCGCAGCTGCAGGCTGCTGCGCTCGCCCAGTTTGCTGCTGTCGACGCCGACGTCAAGTCGGACGACTCGGACTCGGAGTCGGACGACGGCGGGCGCGGAGCGATGGACGAGGGCAGCGTCGCTGGAGGAGCACCGCGAGGAGCTGGCATGGGAGCAGGAGCGGGCTTGGACTCAGACTCGGACTCGGACTCGGACTCGGACTCGGACTCGGACATGGAGCAGCTGATGGCCGAGCTCAACAAGGTCCGTGCCGAAGCCAAGGAGCGGGCGGCGCGCGAGGAGCAGGCCCGGCGCGAGGAGCGCAAGGCCGAGCTGCTTGCGGCTGCCAGCAACGTCGGTGGTAGCAGCGGCAGCAGTGACTTTGCGCTCGGCCGCTCGTTCATGGACGACACCGTGTTCCGCAACCAGGCGACCGACATGGGCGTCAAGCGTGACGAGGGCTTTGTCAACGACACCATCCGCAACGAGTTTCACCGCAAGTTTCTCAACAAATACATCAAGTGAGGGTATGCGGCGCGCGGCGCGCAAGGGTTTACTTCTGGCGGTACGCGATCTTGTCCAGAAAGTCGGTAAAGATGGCCGGCGGGAGGTCGGTGACCTGGGCAATGCGGGCGGTGAGCTGGGCAATCATCTTGTCCTGGTACGCGTTGTACACGCCCTCGACGTCGTACTTGCGGTAGAGGTTCTTGACGATCTCAACCGAGGCCGGGTCGTCGCGAGCGTAGTGCTTCTCGAGCACGGCGCGGTCGGCGGCCGAGCACTTGTCGAGCACGGTGACGACCGGCCACGAGCACTTGTTGTCCTGGATGTCGGTCCCGACCTTGCCGAGCACCTCGGGGTCCTGCCACCAGTCAAGGAAGTCGTCCTGGACCTGGAAGTACACGCCCATGTCGACAAGGATGTCGCGGGCCGTGTCGTACAGCTTCGAGTCGGTGATGCCGGCCATGGTCATGCCGAGCGCCACAGGCAGGTAGAACGAGTAGAACGCGGTCTTGTACTTGACAACCAGGTGGTGCTTGTGCAGCGAAAAGTTGTCCAGCGTCGGGCCCGAGCCCTCGGGCGACGTCCGCAGATCCAGCAGCTGCCCGAGCTGCGTCTGGTACGAGACCTCGTGGAAGAGCTCGAGGTACGTCGCGTACTTGGCGTCGCCCTCAAAGTGCTTCTTGAGCAGCCGGTACACGCCAGACTCGAGAATGAACGAGTCGTTGACCGCAATGAGGCCCACGTCCTCATTGAGGTACCAGCACGGCTGGTCGCGCCGAGTCACAGACCGGTCCATCACGTCGTCGGCAACCAGAAAGTACGCCTGCAGCCACTCAACGCACCACCCGAGCACAGACGCCTTGCACAGCTCGTCCTCGGTCAGCGGCCGGTTGCCCACAAGATGCGAGTAGGTCGTGATGACAGACAGCCCGCGGTTCATCTTGCCGCCAGGCAGCGTGTAGTCGATCATCCGCTTGATGTACCGCACAGCCTCGTCCGGCATCTCAAACTCGCTCAGCTCAGCCACAAGCTCGTCCGCAAACTGCCGGTAGTACGCCTCAAACGACGCCTTCTTCTGCGCCTTGCTCATCTCCTGATACGCAATCGTCGCAGCAGCTGCCTCCCCTCCGACATTCCGCACACCTTCATGAGTCAGCCCCCTCCCCCTCCCCCCTTCCTTTCTTACTTCCTGCGCCTCTCCCCCCCCTGCCTCCCCTGCCTTTCCCCAGCAGCACAAGCTTCGTCGCCGAAAATGTGCAAGACTGGCCACGATCCACACACCACCCTCACCCCCACCCTCTTCATTGCCCTCACCCTTGTCACGTACCCTGCTTCGGGGCAAGCTGCACAAGGAGGCGCGAGGTACGGGCGCGGACACGGGGATCCATTTGAGGGTAGTAGAGTCGGGTGTAGCTGTCGTTGCCGCTGCCGCTGTGGGCGAGCAGAGCGTTCGTCGCCGTCTCTCGCCGCCACCCGCCACGTCGCCGTCTCGCATTGCGGCCGACTAGTTCATCACTGCTGTGCATAGACATGCCATGTCATGTGACTTTCAACCGAAAACTAGTGGATGGGCAAGATGACAAGGTCCAACGTTGCTGGCGATGATGATGGCCTTTTCGTGGTTGTCTTGCTTCCCAGGCATGGTGACTCCCGCGACCAGCTCGCGATTGTGGCTCTGCTGTGGGCGATAGTCGATGGGCGAGGACCGCAGCCCTCGATGGGATATGGGTGCGGGCCGCAGCCCTCGATGGGATATGGGTGCGGGCCGCAGCCCTCGATGGACGATTGACCATAGACATTCGTCGCGATGGATAATGTTGTGCTTGCAGTCTGTGGTGCGTTGACTGCCCTCGCCATCTACGTGGTGTACGGCTGTTGACAGGTTGGCTCTAATTAGCTTGCCGGGGGAACACGTACCCCACAATCAGCAGCAGAATTGGCGGTCATTCCGTTTTGTGGGACACTCCACGCCGCCACCACCACCTCCACACAGCTCACGGGCAGCTGATGGGAAAGGCTACAAGAGTTGCAAGGTCCGTGACATGGTGGATCCATGTATTATTATTTGCTCTTGCTCTTGCATGCGCACGACCAGGATCCGCGGCATCGCTCTCTCAGGTGGCATGCAAGTTCTGGCCCGCTGCCCTTGCGGAACAAGCCCACACGGCCACCGGCCTCAATGTCACCCTGGCTTTCGAGTCATGTCCCGCCCTTCCTTCCGCCTACGAGCCATGGATCGCATCACTTCTGACTCCGGACGTAGTCCCGTACTTTGATGGCCCTCCGCTCGACTATCTGGTCTCGGACGCGGTCTTGCGCGATGTGACGGCCGTCGCTGACACGCTGAACTTGGGCGCCGAGCTGCCTGCCGGGTTGGCCGATTATGCCGCTACCGCCGTCGATCGCTCGCGCCGCCTTGCCCTTCCTCTGTGGATCGAGCCTTTAATGTGCGTGACCACGAAGACCCAGCTGGAGAGGCTCGGCCTCTCGTCTTTCCCAGACTCGCTGCTCCAGCTCAAGGCCAGTTGCACCAGCTTTCGCAGCCTTCCCGATGTTGGCGGCCACGCCGCGTGTCTGGCGCTTGACTCACGCTCGCCAACCTTTGCCATCGACTCGATCCTCGCTGCTGGCCTCGAGCCCGACGACTATGCCAGCTTTCGGGCCGGCAAGCTCCCTTTTGACGGTCCCGAGATGACCGATGTCCTCTCATCTGCCGCGAGTGATCTTGACGGCTTCCTCTCGGAGCTCTCATTCTCGGCTGCTGCGCTCGCATCCAACGCGGCTTTTGCCGTCTGCGGCTCGATTTCGCACTTGCTTGCCGATGCCCAGCTGCCGGCCGACGACCTGGTTGCCGGCGTCTTCCCGGCAGCACCCGGTGTGGTTGTCGGGATCACCACCGCCGCCGCCATCCCGCTCCGCGCTCTTGTCCCGGCCGACGCCCTCGACTACCTCTCGTGGCTCGGTTCGATTGCGGCCCTGCATGCCGCAGCGCCCGAGCTCGAGGCCAATGGTGCGCTCCCGCTGCGGGCCTCCCTCCTGGCCTCGGCCTCGCCTGGACTCTTCGCCCAGACCGCCGATGCGGTATGGGCCGCTTTGCGTATCACCGCGCCTTCATCGCGCGCCTTTGCTGTCGCCGCTGTTGGCGACGCCTGGCTCGCCGCGCTTCCGGCGTTTCTCCACCGCGACTCTTTGCAAGACGACCTCGCCAATCTCGAGGCTCTCCGTCTTGCTGAGATCGAGGGCCGGAGCGCGCCACCGCTCTTTGTGCCATTGCCCGGCTCGCACCCGGTCGCCAGCCTCACTGTCAACATCACGACTGCTGCTACCGCCGCCAATGACACCATCCTTTTCTACACGCTCGACGGCTCGACGCCAAGTCTTGCCGACTCGCCGTCGACGCCGGTGCCGCTCGTCATCGACCTCGAGCGCTCGGCCACCATTCAGATCATTGCACTCCGGCCCGGTCTGGCGGCTGCGCCGGTCGTCGTCGCTTCCTACACCCTCGCCGGTGCGCCACGTGTCAGTGGCAAGCAGGCGCGGTCCCAGATCCAGATCGCGCTCGCGCTTGCCATCTTTATCATCGTCATTGCTGTCCTTGTCGGCATGGTGGCTCTCCTTCTCCTCACCCGCAAACGGCGGCAGAGCGGTACCGTCGACGTCAGCAACGTGCCCATCATCGACGCTGAGGAGCTACGCGAGGTGGAGGAGCAGGCCAAGGGCACGTACGGCCGGGTGAGTCTCGCGGTGCTCGACGACGAGCACGTCATTATCAAGCACATCGCCTTTGGCCTCGCCGACGACGTCCTCGCCGAAGCATCCAAGCTCACCGTGCTCTCGGCGCCGAACCTCATCCGGTTCCGAGGCGTCTGCCTCGGCCTCGGCACGCCGGCGCTGGTCACCGACTATGCGCCGCGTGGCTCGCTCCACGCCGCGCTCCTTAACCCGCGCCTCATCCTCGACTCGACTATCATTCTCCGATGGGCCCACGAGATCGCTGTCGGCCTCGCTGCTCTACACGCCGCTGGCATTGTTCATGGCTCGCTCAAGTCACTCAACGTGGTCCTCGCCAACGACTGGACGCCGATGCTCACCGACTTTGGCCTCTTCAAAGTCAAGTCGCAGCTCTCGTTGCAGGCCGTTGTCGCCGAACCGTCGCGCTACACCTCGACAACCAACTTTGCCACGTCCTCGATCTGCGATTCGGGCCGTGGCTCACTCTCGTCCTTTCGCTCGCGCGGTGTCCTCGCCGCCTACGAGGACATGCGCGATCTCTCGATGGAGCTCTCCGAGTCCGAGGGCGAGGGCAGTCGGGCGAGCTATGCTCAACAGGCTGAGCTCGCCGGCCTCTACTGGGCTGCTCCCGAGCTGCTTGGCTCCGAAGTACCGGTCCCGACGATGGCCTCCGACATCTACGCGCTCGGCATCACACTTTTTGAGCTCGCCACACGCCGCCGTGTCTACGATGGCGAGTCACCTGTCGCCATCGCCTTTGAGGTCTCCAAGGGCCTGCGGCCCGACGTCGCCGGCATCCCGCCGCAGTTATCACCGCTTGCCACCCTCATCCCGGTGCTGTGGGACCACACTCCGGACGAGCGCCTTCCCGTCGCCGATCTTGTCCCGCTCCTCGCCGACTTGTACTCGCCCGAGGTGGTCATCCTGCCTTCGGCGCCCGAGGCTCCGTTTGGATCGGTCATCCTCGTCTCCATGTCTCTCCCGGGTGCGCTGGAGCGGATGGCGCGCTCGCCCATCCGCGGCGCCGGACTCCTCAACTCGTTTCACTCCCATGTCACGACGCTGGTCGACCAGGCTGGCGGTACCATTCTCCGAGCCAGGCCCGAAACCATCATCGCCACCCTCCATCACGCGTCTGAGATCTCCAACCTCGCTCACGCCCTCCATGGCCTCTCGCTCTCGCTCGGCAGCATCCGCCTCCTTGCCCTCCGCGGCGTCATTGAGACTCGCCGCTCCGCGCTCCCCGGCGAGTACATGCTTGCCGGCCAAATCATGACCATTGTCGGGGCCATGGCGGCCGCCGCCTCTCGCGCGTGCGAGGCTTGCCCCGATGTCTATGCCAACAGCTGCACCGCTTTGGTCCTCTCCAAGCTCTCCGACGAGATCCAGCGCGCCCACGCGGCGACCGGCATCCCGCTCTCGCTCATCGAGCCGGTCGGCATGCCCGACTCGGCGCCGCCGATGCTCCAAATCGCGCTTGCCGCCGTCGCACCGCCAACCTTGCAGCCCGACCCGTTTGACTCTATTCTTCACGTGCTCAAGCACACCATACCATCGTTGGGCTCCTTCCCTCTCCGTCTGCGCTCACCATCGCTCCACTCAACCTCCTCGGCACCCGGCTCGGGCTCGCATGGCGGCTCTAAATCACGATGGCCGCTGTTGCCGCCGTTGTCGGCCGGTGCCACCCTCGACTCGGCACCGTTCCCCTCATCGACCGGCGAGCCGCCCTCGCGAAACATTGCCTTTGTCTCATCGCGGCGCCTTCACCGCCTTCTATATGCCAAGCGCGGCAAGGATGTGGTGTCATCCATCGGCACACTCTCGCGCTCGCAGTGGAACAACTGCCCCATCATCATCAAGCGGCTCCACACTCGGAGCCTCCGGCCCGCGAGCTCATCATGTTTGCCCAGGCCGTCGCCGTCGCCGCGCGCCTGGCCACCATCTCGTCGCGCATCAAGGCGCCTGTCGCCATCTGTCTCGAGCCGCCGTTTCTCGCCGTCGTCATGCAGCAGATCCGGACAACATCGCTGGCCATGGTCCTCGACGCTCGTGCCACCATCAAGCATCCGTCGCTTACCCTTCCGCTCGCCCCGGGCATCCTTAACGTCCTCGCCCTCGGCCTCGTCCGCGCCGTCTCAGACCTGCATCGCCTCTCCCAGACCTGTCACGGCTCTCTCACCCTTGGCAACATATTTGTTCGCTTTGACGCCGCCCGCACCGCGCCCATCGACATTATCCTCTCCGACACCTGGTCTGCCAGCATCCGCGCAATCATCGCCCCCAGCACCCACCTCGATTCCCTCCTCTCGGCTCCTGAGCAGATCAACCCGTCCCTCGCACCCATCTCCCTCGCTACCGATGTCTTTGCCATCGGCTCGGTTCTCTACACCCTCCTCACTGGCCATCGCCCCTACGACTCGCTCAATGTCATGGTTGCTGCCGCTCACATCGCCAGCAGTGACATGCCTCTGCTCGACCATCCTTCCCCCTAACTCCACTCATCCATCGCTGCTGGAATGCCGATCCTGCCCTCCGCCCCTCGTGTGAAGAGCTACTCCGTGCGCTCTCTGCTTTGTAACCAACCATGCATCTCTTGCCTCTTGTGCCACAATTACACCTATTCCTCTGCGATCGCCGTTTCTATCCCCCTCCCCTCCCCATCCACACACGCGCGTCCGAGCCCATTGATCAGGATCCCGATCCCGATCCGCACTCAAGCCACGCGGCACCACCGGCACCCCCTCTCCGCCACCACCACAACCACCCCCTTCCACACCTCACTCTCCCTTACCTCTCTTCCTCCTCCCCCCTCTCTCTCTCACCCCCCCCCCCCCCCACACACACACATACCCACACTACCACGTCACCCTCGGGTCATCGCTGTGGTTGTTGCTGACCTCGACTTGATCAAGCGCAAGCTCGGCGGCAACAAGGTTGTGACCGAGACTGGCCAGAACACCGAGAGAGAGAGAGACAGAAGATCGAAGAAAGAAGTATCGTACCATCGTACACTCTCATCTGCGCATCTCCCTCCCTTTATCTCACTATCCTCCGGACTTCCAAAGCTCCGCTAAGACCTCGTTCCATCTCGCTGTGCTTGCCTCGCTCCGAGACCGGGGGAAAAACCCAAATTTCCCGCGCCTTCCACAACTCGCACAGACCCACCACGGCCACCACGGCCACCACCCCCACCCGCACCACCTTTTCCAACGCAACTGGTACGCCCCCCCCCCCTTCTCCCCCTCGCCTTATTCCCCTCCCTCCCCCCTTCTCCCCTTCTCCCCCTCGTCCCTTCTCTCCTTTCGCTCCCCTGCCCTGTCCAGGTCGCCCAACCCAGGTCGCCCAAACCCTCGTGTGTGTGCCTCGCTGCGACCCCCCTCCCCCCCCCTCTCCTCCTCCTGACCCCCCCGGATGCCAATCGATAGCAATCGATGCGACCAGTCCTCCCTCTCCCCTACAACCCAGAAAGCTCCAATCCCATCACTATTGTTTCTCTCTCTCTCTCTCTCTCTCTCTCTCTCTCTCTCTCTCTCTCTCTCTACATACACTGCCAGTGCAAGCACATGCCCCCCCCCTTCCACTCGATGACACAGCACAAGTGGACGGATGTGGCGGCGGGTGTGGGCGAGTGTGATAAGCGGAGGGTATGGGCCTGAAGATGATAGAGGCCATGGCCATTGCAGGCGGCTATAAATGGGAGACAGGGAGTTACTCATACTTGTGGTTGGCGATGATGATGGTGACGATGATGACGATGATGGTTTGGCGGGTCTGGACGGTCGACGGAACAGAGCTGAGGAGCTGTGGCAGCCAACAACAAGTTCGAGAACACCAAGGATATTGACAAGCTGCAAGAGAAACATGTCAGCAAGTGGCACTCCTAATCGGTCACATAACCCGTCGCCAAGGTATCCGAACGGCGGTGGCATGCGGAGAGACTATCGAGACAGAGCTCGCGACTCGCCGCGAGAGTACGAGTATGACCGTGGGTCGCGTGGTGATCGCGGCGGCCCGCGCGGCGGCGGGCGCCCGCTTCCGCACCCGCACTCGCACCCGCCTCCTCGTGGCGGCGACCGTGGCAGCTACGATCGCGGCTACGATCGTGGATACGATCGTGGCGGCGACCGCGGCAGCGGCCGTGGCGGCGACCGCGGCAGCGGCCGTGGCGGCGACCGCGGCGGCGATCGCGGTGGCGACCGCGGCTATGACCGCGGTGGCGACCGCGGCGGCAGTCGAGGTGCTAACCGTGGCGGCGACCGCGGTGGGGACCGTGGCGGTGACCGCGGTGGCGACCGCAGCGGCTACGACTACCGTTACGATTATCGCGGTGGGCGCGACGAGTACCGGCGCGATTACAACAGTGGGCGGCGCGGTACTGGCGCAGGCGCTGTTTCAGGCGCAGGCGGCAGTGGTGACGCCGGCGGCAGCGATCGCCGGCGCGGCGACGACTGGGCCCACCGTGACCGCGACCGCGGTCGTGGCGCGTACCACGATCGGCGCGGCGAGCCGCGCGGGCGCGAGCACTACCCGCGCCGCGGCGAGCATGTTGACCAGCGCGGCGAGCCCATACCGCGCGAGTACCGCGAGTTCCACGACCGGCGTGCTGGCATGCGCGAGCACCACGAGCGGCGCAGCAACGGAGACCGGGCGTACAACCAGACTGCAAGCGCCAGCTCGGGCACTGGCCGTGGTACTGTTTTCTCGCGGCTGGCGGCAGAGGAGGGCAGCCGGGCGCCAGCTGTCCCGCGCAACAACGCAGCGGCGTGGGGCTCGCGAACCATTGCGGCGTTTGAGTTTGGCGACGTCGACCAGATTGGCGAGGGCACGTACGGGCAAGTCTACCGCGCCACTGACAAGGCGACTGGCGACGTGGTGGCACTGAAGAAGATCCGTGCCGACCGGCAGAAGCGCGAGGGCTTCCCCATCACTGCCATCCGCGAGATCAAGATTCTGAAGCACCTCAAGCACCCCAACATTGTCAACCTCAAGGAGGTTGTCATTTCCGAGCCCGAGGCCGAGACGGTCCACTCGTCAGTCCGCGGCTCGGTGTACATGGTGTTTGAGTATGTGGATCACGACCTGAGTGGCCTGCTCGAGTCGGTCAACGCGCCCAAGATGGAGGCCGGGCAGGTGAAGGACTTTATGCTTCAGCTCCTCGCGTCCGTCGCATACACCCACCAGATGGGCATTCTGCACCGCGACATCAAGGCCGCCAACCTGCTTGTTTCCAAGGACGGCGTGCTCAAGCTCGCCGACTTTGGCCTTGCCCGCCAGATCGACCAGAGCGCGCGCTACACCAACAAGGTCATCACCCTCCAGTACCGCCCACCCGAGCTTCTCCTCGGCGGCGACAGCTATGGCCCGGCCGTCGACATGTGGTCCATCGGCTGCATCTTTGTTGAGCTCCTCACCGGCGGGCGGACCCTGTTCCGCGCCGACAAGGAGAAAGACCTGATGATGGCCATCGTCAAGGTCTGCGGAACGCCGACAGAGGCTGAGTGGCCGGGCCTCTCGGCTCTTCCGCTCTTCCACTCGTTCAACTTTCCTCGCACCCGCCGCCGCCTCCGCGACTCGCTCCCGAGCATCGACGCCCAGGCGTTTGACCTTCTTGACAAGCTCTTCACCTACGACCCAGACAAGCGCATCTCGGCCGCCGCTGCCATTGCGCACCCATACTTTACTCTGCACCTCTCCCGGTCCGTGCCCAGCTTACCTGCGACGATGCTTGCCACTACTACACCATCAAGAAGACCCACAAGCGGAAGCGCGACGTGCCCAAGAGCCAACCACCGGCCGCGGCAACCACGCGTGCGTCTGTGCCTGTGTCTGCTGCAGACGCGGACCTGCCGCCGGCCAAGCGCACCAAGCCGCTCGTCGCTGCCGCCACCGAGTAAAAGCTGCAGACCGCTCAACATGTGCGGAGGAACCAAAACCAGCTCGCATCCCGGAAAATTACGGCTCGGTGGCGCTGACAAGCTCAGCCGCAACCTTGCCCGATCGAGCATGGACCGAGGTGAGGGCGACCAGGCCCGAGAAGCCACGGACGAGCATGTCGCCGCCCTCGGTAGAGGCGGCAAGCACATCGGCCACGCCTGCGATGTGGACGTTTGGCACGAGCGCGGCGGTCGAGTGAAAGTAGACAGCGTAGTTGGAGTCGCCGGGCGCGCGGTCGAGGACGGTGATCTTGTGAGCCGCTCCGGCGCCGCTCGCCAACTGCTGCGCCATCCACACCAGCGCCCAGTACCGCTCCGAGGTCCGCTGGAGCGAGCGAATGTGGAACGACCGCTCGTCGTAGAACGGAAGGCGGGCGTAGAGGTCGTCCACTTTGCGGAGCGGCGGGCCGGTGCCGGACAGGTGGCCCTTGATCTGGTAGTGGGCGAGCATGTCGGTGTAGCGGCGGATGGGCGAGGTGACGTGCGCATAGTCGGCAAAGCCGAGCGAGTAGTGCCCGGCGGCGGTAGGCGAGACCGAGGCCGGCGACTGAGTCTGAATCTCCTTAAGGTCGCGGAGGACGGGCGGAAGGTCGGCGACCCAGTCCGGAAGCGCCGACCGCGGCGGCGGCTGGACGCGAAAAGTGAACGGGAGGTCAGCGGCAAGCGCAAAAGTGGCGCCTGTCTGCCCCGCGGCAATCATGAGCTCCTGGACCAGGATCTGCGCCGGCGCGTCTTCAGCACGCTCCGGCACCAGGTCGACCCGCCCGGTCTCGGGCGTGACCCGGAAGCCCATCGACGGAAGCGAGATCTGCCGTGCCCGCGCCTCGCGCCATGCCAGCCGCTTTCGCACCACACCATACAGCGTGCGGAGCTGCTGGATGGCGGCGTCGACGTCGCGGGTTCCGGCCGGCCCGGCGTCGGCGAGCCGGCGGGCAACCTGGCTGCTCGGCCGTGCTCCCGCGTCCGCCAGTAGCGTGTCGACGTCGTCGTAGGTGAGGCGGACCATGGCGCCGGCCGGAATGACTGACTCGCGCACGTCAGTCTCGGCGAGGCTGCCGTCGTCAGCGAGACGAAAGGCAAAGGTGAGGACCCGGACGTCGCGAGACGACGAGAGCGACAGCGCCGACTCGCCAAGCGCCGATGGGATCATTGGGACCCGCCGCTCTGGCAGGTACAGCGTCGAGAGCCGCGCCCGTGCTGCAGCGTCGAGCTGCGAGTCGAGCTGCACTGTGGCCGTCACGTCGGCAATGTGGACCAAAGTCCACTCGGGCGCAGTGAGGTCGATGCTCACGGCGTCGTCAACCTCGGTCGTGTCTGCAGAGTCGACCGCAAAGTAGACCGGGCCGCGGGCGACATCGGTACCGGCATCGGCCGAGGCGAGCGACGGCGCGCTACTCACGCTTGCTGCTCTCTCAGCCGGAGACTCGAACCGCTTCAGCAGCGGCGAGGCGTCGAAAATCGGATTGTGCACCGCCGCCGCCCCGCCGTGGGTCAGCTCGAGCAGGGCGGTGTCAACAAGCTCGAGGACCCGGTCGCGGAGCGCGAGCTGCGCAACGTCCAGCGGCTCGAGCAGGTGGGTGATGACGCCCGGGACCGGCGCCTGCAGCTCGGGCACCCGCAGCGACTCCGCAATGGCGTCCAGAAACGGCACGTCATCGGGTTCAAAGCCGCCGCTGAGCCCGCGCGCGTCACACACGCCGCGCGCCGCAGCGCCCAGAAGCTCGGCCTGTGGCGCCCGCCGGAGCCGCAGATCCCGCGGGTTGGCCCGCTCCCACCCTTGACGCACCGCCGCCGCTGCATCAGCGATGCCAGCCTTGTCCAGCGCGGCCGAGAAGCGGGCGAGAAAGCCCACAAGCGGCGTCGTCGCAACATCGGCCGCCGCCGCCGCCGATCCGCGCAGCGCCTTGGAGAGTGTCTCGTCGTGGGCATGGACCGCGGCGCGGGCAGCGGCAAGCTTGGCAACCTCGGCCTGCGGCCGGGCGCGGTAGGCCTGGACAAGGCCGATCTTGCGAAAGTGCAGCGGATCGGCCACCAGCATCCGGGCCGTCGCCGCCACCTCGACGGGTGACACATCGCGGTTCGCCGACTGCGCGCCGGCGTTGAGCGCAAGCGCAACAGCCGGCGGCATGAACAGAGACCGTGCGAGAGCCCGGACATGGACAACATCCTCCACCTCGGCGTACTGCTGCCACAGCCGCGGGATCTTGCCTGACGTCCGCTCGACCTTGGCCGCTACCGACGATGCAATCCGCCGGGCATCGTGGACCGAGTACTGCCGCGCGTGCGGCTTGGGAGGGAGCACATACGTGAGCGCCGGCGTCGGGACCGTCAGCGGGCGCGACGAGGCGTCGACTCCGGTCCACGCCCGGATCCTCGGCTCAAACTGCCTCAGCAGCCCAAAGTAGAACTCGAACCGCTTCGACTTGTGCGAGAACCGGGTGTACTCGCCGAGGAGCGGCGGTGCGTCTGGACCTGGCGATGACGACGACGAAGCTGGCGATGACGACGACGACGACGACGATGACGATGACCACACAATGTACGGTGAGAGGTCCTTGATGATGCCCTCGTTCTCATCGAGGGTCGATGGCGCCATGGTGGGTGGCGGGAAGGCCATACCACCTCGATGGCGCCGATTCCCAGCAGCACTCTGACCCGAGCCGAGCGGTCCACCACGTGATCTAGCCGGCGACCGCGACTGCGAGCGTGACCGTGACCGTGACCGTGACCGTGACCGTGATGCCGGCGACGAGGTGGACGACGAGGTGGATGAAGCCACCGCTGCAGTGGTGGTGGCTGCCCATGCGCGTGCGACATGATGTAGTAACGGAACTGGTGCTCTCCCGCGAAGCATGGAGTGGAAGGGTCCGCTTGCGGGTGGAAGTGGGGTGTGGAGGGTGAAGGTGGTGGGATGGCGTGATGGGTTTGGTGTGGCAGGGAAGGAGCAAAGCGGGGGGTGGGGGGGTGGGGGGTTGGAGGAAAGGGATTGGAATATGCAATACCGTGGGGACCGTACTGGTGTGGTCCTTGACCTTGATGGGGGTCG